GCAGCAGAATCTAGAAGATGAGGGCACGACATACGCAGCTGGTGAGTTTTTAACTCATCGTTGAACCGATTTTGCCACCCAAAGTTAGCTGTAAATAGGGTAGTTTAGGCTACCGTTTACACTGTATCTCAAGAAGGCTTCAATAACAACCTATAAACCTATAGTTTTTGAAATCTGTGTTTCGTTGGCTACAACATTAGAGGAACAGTTTTTGTTTTTGATCCTTGTGGCAATGGTACTGCCTGGTTGAAAGTAAACTTCTACACGCACGCTTCGACAGCCCTGAATGGTGGCTTTGCTAAGTACAAGTAGGAAATAGAAGAATTTGCTGCAGTTTAGTTTAACTCTTTTTTTAGCTTGTGGTATCCCCTCTTGATTCAGGGTATCTCTTGAACCCAGGTACTGTTCTCTGACCAACTGTGGTGTAAACGTGTTTGAGTCATGCATGAAAACTTGTGATTACTATTAGCACTATAATACAACGTTTTTCGTGCTATGCCTGACAACATTAAGTCACACACAAAGCATTACGCGTATCGATCCTCACAATGCACGTCAAGACATACTCAGAGCAAAGAGAAATGTGTTTGTGTCATGCATGAAACTTGTGATCTGGAGGAACAACTCCAGTCACGAGACGAGCAGCTAGCAGATGGGAGACAAGTGGTCTTTACAGAAATGGAGGATGCGACGGATGATCAGAGGATGGAAGAGGAATTGGATTACGAAACGGTGGGTGGAAAGACAGAGGACGAGACAGATGATGGTGGTGACGATGTTCGTGAGGATGGCGAGCAGAACGAGGAAGAAGACGATGAAATGAACGAGGAGGAGTCGGATGGGAAAGAGCGAGATTAGGCAGATGAATGTGTTGATCGTAAGAAGTCGGCTGTGTGCCCACACTGGTTATCTAGTCCTGACTGTCTTGGTGTGTATGATGACTCTCATTTTTCTGTGCTGTGTCGTGCGCGTTATGTCCAGCAGTTGAAAGCCCTTGAGGCAGTTTGTGTACGTATTCATAAGCCTGTTTTGTGTGAGCAGAAAGAGCACGTTGTTGCACTGAGGTTGTATTCGTAGGTTGACACTTCGTTCAGTGCCTTCTCATCCTTGGTTACGTAATCTTCTCACCTTTGGTTACGTAATCTACTAATCTTGGTATCTTTTTGCGTTTCCTCTAGTGGTTTTATTGCACTTGTATCATGATGTTATTTCTAACACCTTTCTATTACAGTAATTAACTTCAGTTTCTTTAGTTGTATCCCTTAGTTCCGTATTTTTTTCCCACTGATGATAGGAACGAGAAAATCGATTCTGGGTTTCAATAATATTATTGCCTAAAAATACACATACACGTCGAACAAGTAACGTAGTTGCGTGATGTTGTCTGCGGCCTTCATCCTATTCATAGCTATACATGTATGATGTTATAAATTACACAGACATGTCGAATAAGTATGTAGTTGCGTGATGATGTCAGATTTCAGTTGCCAGCACTGTAGTTAACTGCACTACGAAAACAAGGGAGGACCGTTACATTTCGATACAAATATATTTTCATAAGTATAACGAATACTCTTTGAAATTAGATTAGACGAGGACTCATTAGAAGACATAATAATTATTAATTTATTATACATGCAGAGGGCTACGCTTGGCGCCGTTTTTTGTGCCCCTTCAACCTTCTGTCGTAGTAGCGCTCTTGGAATACTCTATGAGATTAGACTAGACGAGGACTAGTTCGAAGAATAAGTTCATGCCGAGGACTACACTTGGCGCCGTTTTTCTGTCACTTAAACCTGGCCTGGTCGTGGCGCTCCTTCAGCCTGGCGTCGTCGTGGCGCAACTGGTGGCCGCTGACGTCTTGGCTGTTCTGCGCGCGGCATTGCTGGGGGCCCAACACGACCATCCGTGCGTAGGGTCGTCGTGGTTGCGCTTGGGGAGCAAACAAGACCCGGGCGCAGGGTCGTTGTGGTGGCGCTACTGGTGGCTGCTGATGTGTGTCCCATATGGTGCAGTGGTATGTGCAGCGATTTCCAATCTATAGGTTGCGGGTTCGATCCCGGACGATTATGGTCACACACGTCTTTGTTCTCTTTCTTAGACTCTTCCTGACTTTTCTTTCATTCTCCTGGGTGGTTACCAACAGCCAGTGCATGCCGGAGTATGTGGTGTGATGTGTGTGCGGGAAAAAAATGAAAAGACCAAAAATAGGGATTCACTGGCCAGAAAAAGTCACTTCAAAATAGCTGTATGGTGTAGACCAGGCTGAATAGTGACGGTCAATTCTTCAGCCTTGCAAGCTGTTGAATGGTGCAATCCCAGCACAAGTTGCTATGGCTTCTGCCGTAGCATTGCTATCATCTCGTCCGGCGATGGGCGTCAAAGGTCAGGTCAGGCTGCTGATGTCCGGGCTGTTCTACCCGCGGCAGTGCTGGTGCAGCCAACATGACCTGGGCCTGGGGTCGTCGTGGTAGCGCTACTGGTGGCCGCTGATGTCTTGGCTGTTCTATCCGCAGCAGTGCTGGCTCATCCAACAGGATCTGGGCCCCTTCTATCGCCCTCATTTCTTCTTCATTCGCTAAAACAGAGATGAGATATCGGATAATAATTCATTTCATTAGTTTTACTCGTGGGCAAGAGTGAACTCGGATGGAGAGCCAAGGATAAGGCTGGAACAATGTCTGCCATGCACACGCACGCGGCCGGCCACGCGATGGTAGGAGCCATGGAGTAGCTCACTGGTCCAGGTACCGAACACCTTACGTAGAAACGTCCCTAGACAACGTGTGTCAATAGCGATGTCGTTAGCTCTTACATTGTGAACACAATAATAGAAAAGCTGACAGGATCGCTTTTCTAAATTATAAAAGACAATGGTGCTGAGACTAGGACAAATGTGAAAACTATACGGAGTAGTGACTGCACCGGGTCGCAGCAGTATGAGATGTTTATCAAGTAACTGATGGACATTATAGCGCAACTTGTAGTTCCTTGGTCCCTTCCCTTTTTTACATATTTATCCTTGGCTCTCCATCAGAATGCAGTCTGGCACACCTGATGATCGCCATCCTGATCTATCCAGCAAAATGATCGTCATGTGAAGGTCACAGTCTATTACTGCTGCTTATTGTCCATCTAAATTGGCATAGTCGAAGTACAGTGCTGTTTTACTAATGCTTTCGTCTTGCATGATTCTTGTCCGCATAGCTTCCCCTTCAATTGACCTTCGCATCTTTAGAACCACACAAGTTTTGCGGAATGCTGCTTTGCGCCCTTGAATCGTGGTATGACCGTATTGCCCTACAGCTGCCTCTGATTGCTCCTCTCCCTTTCGCTTGGAGTGTCCTCACCATCATCTGTGTGGCTGAAAAGACAAGGCGATACGAATAAAATTTGACTTGGACGTGGAGTTGCTTCTTCTGAGGCAGCTGACGAGGCAGATTTGGCCCTGAACTCTTTGGGCAAGGTTCGTTGTAAGCAGCAAGAAAAGGAGCACGGGACAGGAATTCGCCGATGCTGGAGCTCACGAAATGAAAACACAATGTGTCATGTCATTTTGTTTGTGTCATGTCATGATGTTCGACTTGTAAAACAAACATTTGTTCGAAAATTCGACTTTGATGTTCGACAAATGACGGAAGAACGCTGAACTGAAATTCGGAATGCAAACCCTTACTAGTAACTAACACAAAACATCTGCAGAGAACCTCTAATTTCACAAATTTTCGGTGTACTTTTATTTTCGGTACTTTCGGTGCATCTGCTTCATACCTAAAATTTCAATACACCAAACAAACACTAACACACATAATCCAATAGGGAACTGCTTCTCTGTACCGAAAATTTCTGTTCACCTAACCTGGCCTTTTGCCCTCATCCCGAAAATATTGAGCACCGAAAATTTCTGAAATTAGAGTAACCTCTAGGTAAGCCATGCTGCTAACCACATATTCGAGAGGTTAAAATGCACGTTGTTTCCCACGTGACGCGCAAAATCAGGTCAAATTTGGTGTAAAGCCAAATAATGAGGCACAAGCGGATTACTGGGCAGAACAATGTTAGACATTCTCAACCCTTTGCTAGTCCACCATGAGTTTTGATACGTCTGGCTGGCTATCCACTGAGATACCTATCCTTCACAGTTCGTGTAAGACTCAGCTAGGTGCCGAGTTTCCCACATCCATAGGAACGCCACCAAAGGATCAAGACGCAGATGCAGCTCCTAAAGCTGCGGGAGGTGAGTAGATCAGCTCACCAGCAATTGGCCAAAGACCGAAAATCACACTCACTGCATCCATGTTTTCCTCGCGCCGGGACACGAGTTCGCAATTAACTCTGAGTCGCAGCACGGCAGGAAACTCCTTCCGCTTCAAGACAGGGCTTGATGCTGGTACCCTCAGTTTCTCAATGATGGTCGTTGACCATCCCACTTTGCTTGGCTGAGGTACCTGTTTCAGGGATTGGCGGGGATAATAATTGTATCGGTGTGTACCACTCACACGAAAGGACCCAGCATGGGATGATAAAAACTACGAAATAGAGACCGCTAGAAAGTTACTACACCTTCTCTGCAAATCATACGCAGCAACTGAATATCATTCTCTATAACAGTAGCTATACCTACTCTGCAAATCATGCGCTCACCTGCAAGAACTGAATACGCCGGTCCAGTGATCTTCAGCCATATTATTTTTATGTTGCCGAAATTTCCAGTGCAAAAAAAAAGTGTCAGCGTCTCAGCGTGGAACAAGAATGTACAGTACTAGCAACTGAAATCCTCAGTGACCCCTGACTCCTGAGCAGTCCGCTCACATCGCAAGGACCCAACACCGGATGGTAAAAACCACGAAATAGAGACCGCTAGAAAAAGGACGCATCGCTAAGGGGTCAGATTTCAGTTGCCAGAACTGTAATTAACTGCACTACGAAAACAACAGAGGACCGTTACATATTTCATACAAATGTATTTTCAAAAGTATGACGAATACTCTATGAAATTAGATAAGACGAGGACTAATTTGAAGACATATACATGTAGAGGGCTAGGCTTGGCGATCTTTGTTTGCCCCTTCATTCTGGCCTCGTCGTGGCGCTCCTGGTGGCCGCTGCTGTCTCGCCTGTTCTGCCGGCGGCTCTGCTGGCAGGACCAACGGGACCATTGGGGCGTTGCGTCGTCGTCTTTGCTCTCCTTGCGCTCCTGGAGCAAAGACGACCTGGGGTGGTGGTGGTGGTTGAGCTACTGGTGGCAGCTGATTTCCTTGTTCATCAACCCACGCCGGTGCTCCTGGTGGCCGCTGCTGTCTCGCCTGTTCTGCCGGCGGCTCTGCTGGCAGGACCAACGGGACCATTGGGGCGTTGCGTCGTCGTCTTTGCTCTCCTTGCGCTCCTGGAGCAAAGACGACCTGGGGTGGTGGTGGTGGTTGAGCTACTGGTGGCAGCTGATTTCCTTGTTCATCAACCCACGCCGGTGCTCCTGGTGGCCGCTGCTGTCTCGCCTGTTCTGCCGGCGGCTCTGCTGGCAGGACCAACGGGACCATTGGGGCGTTGCGTCGTCGTCTTTGCTCTCCTTGCGCTCCTGGAGCAAAGACCACCTGGGGTGGTGGTGGTTGAGCTACTGGTGGCGGCTGATTTCCTGGCTGTTCACCCCGCGCCGGTGCTTCTGGTGGCCGCTGCTGTCTCGCCTGTTCTGCCGGCGGCTCTGCTGGCAGGACCAACGGGACCATTGGGGCGTTGCGTCGTCGTCTTTGTGCTGCTTGCGCTCCTGGAGCAAAGACGACCTGGGGTGGTGGTGGTTGAGCTACTGGTGGCGGCTGATTTCCTGGCTGTTCACCCCGCGCCGGTGCTACTGGTGGCCGCTGCTGTCTCGCCTGTTCTGCCGGCGGCTCTGCTGGCAGGACCAACGGGACCATTGGGGCGTTGAGTAGTTGTATTTCCGCTCCTTGAGCAAAGACGACCTGGGGTGGTGGTGGTGGTTGAGCTACTGGTGGCAGCTGATTTCCTTGTTCATCAACCCACGCCGGTGCTACTGGTGGCCGCTGCTGTCTCGCCTGTTCTGCCCGCGGATCTGCTGGCAGGACCAAGGGGACCATTTGGTCGTTGTATCGTCGTCTTTGCGCTCTGAGTCCTGCAGCAAAGACGGCCTGGATCCGGCCTGGTGGTACTACTGGTGGCGGCTGATTTCCTGGCTGTTCACCCCGCGCTGCCGCCAACATGACCTGGGCCTGGGGTCGTCGTGCTGGCGCCACTGGTGGCAGCTGAGGTCTTGGCTGTTCTGCCTGCATCTGCTCATTAAACAGGATCTGGGCCCTTTCTATCGCCCTCATTTCTTCTTCAGTCTCTAAAACAGAGAAAGAGATGAGATATCGGATAATAATAATTTCATTAGTTTAACTATAGTAAGTGTAACTTAGAATCCCTCCATTTCAGACGTACCCTCACCGCAATTGCAATTCTTTTCAAATACATCCACTTTCAACTTCATATCTTATCCTTTCGTGATATCAATATTTCTCGTGGTGAACGCAGACCGAACAAGCGTGTTTTCAACTCTCATGGGGAACTGGTTTTCAACAAATTAATGTTCAAACGCCCACGCTATGGCGGATACATACTTTCCGCGTCTGCCATGTTCGCAGGCTACTGTTGAATGAAGTAACTATCACCAACCGTTCATTAAATACAAGGACAGTTGTAGAAGATTTTTTTTTTAAGTCTGCAGAGCACTTCTATAGGTAAGCAATACTGCTAGCGAAATACAGCATGTAGTAGTTGGCTCACCTACCAGCAGCGCACAGCTCGCGGTCGTATTCGTCATTCCGGATCTTGTTGACATCGTCCATGAAGTTATTTGGCGCTTCAGCCATCTCTAGGCTTTCTACAAAACTCAGTAATAGACTCGTTTGGAACTAGACTCTGGTGTGTAGAGTTTGGAACTAGACTCTGGTATGCACAGTGAGTGAACTTGTATGTGTTGCGTCCTTTGTCCAACACTACAGTAACTACATTTGCCTTCACAAGCAGGTCATATCAACCCTTTACAAGTTGTTATGCGTCTAGCTATCAACTGAGATGCCAATGGCAGGGAATTATATCGATGCGTACCACTCACAATCATACGCACACAAACATACCATTCTCCATAACTATACCTACACTGCAAATCATACGCTTACCCGCAGCAACTGAGTACGCCGGTCCAGTGATCTTCAGCCATATTTAATGTTGCAGACATTTCCAGTGCAAAAAGGTTCTCACTCAGCGTCGAACAGGGACATAGATGAGAGTGAACACACACAATGCTCCATTTACGAACGCCCTGAGACCCATTAAGTACAACATTCTTTAATTTCAAAAGTATGACGGGTAATGTATGAAGAGAACGATAACGTTTGTTATCACTCTCTTAGTATTGACTCCCATAGATTTTTGCCATACCTAAGCAGTGAAAATATTCCTGCATATTTCACTCCTTAGGGCTATATTGACCGCTTATATTTGACTCCTTTTTAGCGATTGAACACAGGCTTTGGCTAGTCGTGATAAATCTAATATTGACTTCGTACTTGGTCAGTATAGGAAATAAAAGACCTCGTAAAAAACCTCGGCTTTTATTTCCTATATTGACCTCGTACTCAGTCAATATTAGTGATATTAGTAAGGTTTGATATGAAGTGTGTTCTGGACTGGAATAATAATAATAATAATAAATTATAATAATAATAATAATTTGGAAAGGATGGGAGAACTTCAAATTCAAAGGATCAGTCGGGGAAGTGAACTGCCTGAAAAGAGAAAAAACGCCAGACCCACCAGGACTCGAACCTGGGACCCTGCTTGTCATGAGCAATGCTCTAACCACTGAGCTATGGGACCAGGCTGAACCTAGAAGGCGCTGACAAGTTTTTCACTCCAAAGGCAGCTCACAACACGTGCCACACATACTGATGGCACTTGGGTCTTTTTCCCTCCCCCAGGGGACCAACCACGGTCAGTTTCTGGAAACTACCAGGAGTGAAAGAAAGTGATTAAATTTGGAAAGGATGGGAGAACTCCTGGTAGTTTCCAGAAACTGACCGTGGTTGGTGTGTTGTGAGCTGCCTTTGGAGTGAAAAACTTGTCAGCGCCTTCTAGGTTCAGCCTGGTCCCATAGCTCAGTGGTTAGAGCATTGCTCATGACAAGCAGGGTCCCAGGTTCGAGTCCTGGTGGGTCTGGCGTTTTTTCTCTTTTCAGGCAGTTCACTTCCCCGACTGATCCTTTGAATTTGAAGTTCTCCCATCCTTTCCAAATAATAATATTAATAATAATAATAATAATAATAATAATAATAATAATAATAATAATAATAATAATAATAATAATCTGCTCTCCATGACCAATGTTGTGGAGTCAATGGGCGACTGCATTGGTATGCGATTCAACCCATCAAAGTCTAGCTGGCTCACCATGAAACGGGGAAGAGCCCAGAGCGATCAGCAGTCTGCTCTCCAGACACTCCAGGGTCACGCCATTGCTAAGCTGCAGGCGGAGGAGTCCTACAGGTACCTTGGTGTCCCGGAATCAGCACATTTTCACGCCACCGAATTGAAGACCACAGCAAAGGCCGAGTTCGGCCGCCGCCTTCAATTGATATGCTCGTCTCAATTGAACGCCAGGAACTTGGTCAAAGCCATCAACACCTTTGCCATTCCAGTCATCCTCTACTCTCTGTGCATCGTTGAGTGGACAATGGCAGAGATAGAAGAACTCGACCGACAGACCCGCCAAGCACTGTTTAAAGCACACGCCCGCCACCCCAAGGACTCTGCCGCCAGGGTCCACCTGCCTCGTGACATGGGTGGTCGAGGAATTCTATCATTCCGGGATCTCCTGGATAGAACCCGTGTCCGGGTGGCGCGGTACCTACAAGCCCACCCAAACGTGCCACTGTTGGCTGCTGTTAAGCGCCATCACGACAATGATGTGGCACCGTCAAAATCAGTTACACGTCAAGCCTCCAGACTTCTGGGTGAACTTGACCTACCCGACTTGGAGACTGCCACAAAAGTCATTGTCAAGAAGGCCGTTGCTCTCCGGTGCCTGGCCGTTATCCAAGGTAAGCCTCTCCATGGCCAGTTCTGGAGACGAGCTTCTGATGCTGGCTTGGACCTGGGCTTGAGTTTTCGCTGGCTGAAATCGCCAACGATCAGGCCTGCGACAGAGGGACTCTTGCTGGCTGTACAGGATCAGGCCATTGCGACCAGGCACTATCAGGTCACGGTCATTGGACGGGGAGACGTTGTGGACATTTGTCGAGTTTGCGGCACTCGCGGAGAAACAGTTGATCACATTGTGGCCTGTTGCCCAGCCCTAGCCAAAACACTGTATATCGAACGGCATGACACGCTCGTCAAGTTGGTGCATTGGGCACTATGCAAGCGGCATGGTCTGGGTCAGCCGGGAAGCAACCCGCTGAAGCATCATCTTGTGCCTGTCACGGAAAATCCTGACATGAAGCTCCTGTGGGAGTTCAATATCCCAACGGATACGCAAGTGCGCCACAACCGTCCAGACCTGGTGTTGCGGTCCAGCACACAGGTGCTGCTGATGGATGTCAGTGTTCCACTGGACCAGAATGTGCCCACAAAAATCGCCGAAAAAATAACAAAGTACGCTCCCCTTTGCCAAGAGCTGCGGCGCATCTGGCATGTGGATGATGTCCGCGTTGTGCCCCTGGTTGTTGGGGCGCTTGGTGGACTGACTGGTGTGTCCCTCTCACACTTTGTGTTGGCATTGGCAGGCACTCTGCGCATTGAAAGGGCTCAGCAATGTGCTATCCTGGGCACGCTGAACATCATCAAGTCGGTTCTTGGCATTCGGCATTAGGCTCCTCATGTTACGGGTAGAGCTAGTCTGTATAAACCTCCAATACCGCATTTGCTTTGACATCCATGAATGTGCAGTATGACGGTTCTCACAGCCTGATTTTTCTCTTGCCATTTGAGTATGTCCGGCATTCATCTCTTCCTCTATTTCTACAGGTCTATTCCTGTACTGGTAGTCCATTTTTGTGATTACTCTTTTTGTATTCGAATATGTCCTGTCCTCCTCCATCTTTTTGTATTCGAATATGTCCTGGCATCCTCCATCGTACTGCTTATTTCTGTCCGTCTCTCAGTTTCTGCGTCGGCTTTCAATATTTTTGCTTTGGTTTTTACAATCCTTTTTGCTTCGGTCTTCATTGCGTTGGCCATTTATCTTTTTTTTTTTTTTTTTTTTTTTTTTTTTCTCTCATTACCCTTGGTCTCTTTTGGCCCGGTGATGGGGTTCTTACCTCATGTCATGACAACGTGAGTGAAATAAAGCCAACTCCATAATAATAATAATAGTATCGGAACTGAGGGTAGAACATTAGAACATTTTATAACAGCATAATTAATTAAAAGTGTGAACAACAAAGGAAGTGCTGTTCCGCTCATCAGTGAATAGTATCGGAACTGAGGGTACTGTGTACAACAATAGAACATTTTATAACAGCATAATTAATTAAAAGCGTGAACAACAAAGGAAGTGCTGTTCCGCTCATCAGTGAATAGTATCGGAACTGAGTCGAAGGAAAGGAGCGGGATGAGACGGAAGAGAGCGACGTGAGCAAAAAGTCAGCTGTATTTTGTCACTTGTTATCACGTCCAGATTGTCTTGGTGTGTACGATGATTCTCACTTTTCTGTTTTGTGCCGTGCAAGTTATGTTAAGCAGTTGAAGGTTCTGGAAGCTGTATGTATTCGTGTGCATAATCCTGTTCTTTGTAAACAAAAGAAGCATGTAGTCGCGCTAAAGTTGTTCTCGTAGCTGGTTATCAGATGTAAATGTTGTGTCATGTTGCACTGTATCACCTCTTGCTTTGTGGCTGCACTCAGTTATATACGTTAGCACTATGTTTGACACCTATTATGTAATGCTGTAGCACTTCCTTTGTTGTTCACACTTTTAATTAATTATGCTGTTATAAAATGTTCTATTAATAATAATAATAATAATAATAATAATAATAATAATAATAATAATAATAATTTTAATATGGCAATAAGTAGGACGAGCTGAAGCGACATGTGGACTACTTTAATAACAATGTAAGCGATGGAGACGATGCAAGAAACAACCTAAAGGGTAAGGAAAAATACATGTAAGAAGAAAAAGGGCAATGGAAAAAAAAAGATGATTCGAACAAGTTTTCGTACAACACTCTTCAGGAATGTATGTTGGTAGGACTGTTCAGCACCTGAACGCACGTATCAAACAACACACTCCACTTCACATCCTTCCACCCAGTGCGCAATCTGAGAGGCCCAAACGCGGGAGGCCTAGGAAAAACCCATCACCTAGACGGCAGGATAGTTCCCTGCCGCTGTCTGCCGCTCCCCCTCTGACATCTGTGTTGGACGGGCTGGAGCTTGGCAGCTCTTTGGAGGTGCGTGCGGAACCGCCACTGGTGCAACCCTCGGGTGTGCCTAAGTCTGTGCCTCTGGGTGCTTTGCATGGGGCTGTGCCTCGAGTGGTGACAGCACCTCTGCCTCCCCCTGACCCTCCTCCTTCGAGGTCTGTGTTGGTGGGGAGCACCCGTGGCGGTCGATTTGTCCCACCGGAACCAGAGCTGGATTCAACAGAAAGACCAACAACCATGGCGGCAACAACAACACCAGCTTCACATCCAACAACAACACCAGGTTCACATCCAACAACAACAACAACAACTAATCCACAAGACAAAGCAGCAAATGACAGACCACGGAGGTCTACAGCAGATTACAACCGGACCTATGAATTCACGTTAAAAATACAAAGGAAACAATCGGAAAGGACGACGACTGACGTGAAGGCAACGGCATTCAGGGTTGGCGTGGGTGGTGAAGGTGAGACGCAGGACGATGCAAGTGAGGAGGAGAGTCAAACCGCGGTGGATGACGGAGCAGGTTCTGATTCGGACAGTGAGGGAGAAGGTGAGCTGAGTGAGGGTGAGAGGGAGTGTGAGGGTGTGCGCGTGAGTCGA